ACTGCTTTGCTGCTGTAGCCTGGGCCTGGCCAGCTAAGGTAACCTAGTCCCACAGTTTTCACACTCCCCCATACCTGCTGCCCTGCCTCCTGCACCGCCCACATACTGCTTCCGCCCCTGTCCTGAGTCCCCCACACACCCCACTCCTAACTCTTGCACCACCATCCCACATTTAATTTCTTACAGTCACTGCTGTATCAGAAAATACGCACCTCCTGCCCTGAGGCATGTTGCGATACATTTCTTACAGGCACTGTCTTCAGTTCCTTGCACGCCTGGGCATGGTCTTGTGTGCGCACACAGGTCAGGTGAGGGCACAGCCCCACCCTGCAGGTGGCAGGGGATAAATAGTCAGCAGCAGCTGTTTGTAACACACATGGGGCCAGTATTGGATTAACACTGGGGGCCCTGGGCTACTAGATTGAGTGGGGCCCCCCCACAAGTCTTTCTGCCTGATTTCAAACAAAATGATCCCAATTATGGCATCAAGGCTGTTAGACCAGACTGAACTTGCCTTTTAATTAACAAAGCTGTTCTGGGGTTATGGGTTATCAAAACAGCCTTATGTCTTACCTTAGAAACTTATAGAGCCGCTGTTCTTTCTGGGAGGGAGCTGGGTGCAGGAGGGAATTCTGACCTAGGGCAGGGTGTGGGGGTGCGAGATGCAGGCTTCAGCTGGTATGCACACAGGTCGCTGCTGCTCCCGGCCGCCTGCATTGGTGTTGCCTGTAAGCTATATGTTTGTACAGCCACGTGGGAGAGCATCAAATGCCGCTCAGCTGATTAGCAGAGCGCCCACAGCTAGGTTTGTGTTTCTACTGGTGGTGCACATTCACACATGCCTTGGTGCATATAAATAAATGTTTTCCACACCGATGGTGCACATTCACACATGACTTGGTGCATGTAAATAAATGTTTTCCACACAGAGGGAAAAGATCAGAGGGAACACTGGCTTGCAAGACATGGCCCAACACCGCTCCCTAAGTGGCCAGTTGTTGGCATAACTCTTCCCTTCCCTCCAGAGGGGGGCAAAAACAAGCATGGTGCATGTAAATAAATGTTTTCCACACAGAGGGAAAAGATCAGAGGGAACACTGGCTTGCAAGACATGGCCCAACACCGCTCCCTAAGTGGCCAGTTGTTGGCATAACTCTTCCCTTCCCTCCAGAGGGGGGCAAAAACAAGCAAGGAGTAGACAGAGGTTTCTCCTTCTGAGTGAGTCAGTCAAACTGCTGCCTTGTGCCCAGCAGCCCAGGTGGATTGGGGGTACAAAATGACTGTCAGCCCTCAGGCAGGAACGGTGGGAAAGCAGAAGGGGCCCAGAGAGACCGGAGACAAGGGCACCAGGCCTGACAGGCAGGAAGGCGTTTCAACAACCGGTGTCCCAAAGACAGAGGTAAAGCAAAAGGTTGTAAACAGGGCCTAGGAGAGAAGGAAAGGAACAAGCTGGTAACGTCAGAGGCCTAGGCTGCTGCCAAGGTTGGCAGCCCCCCAGGATCTGCATCCCCCCAGGATCTGCATCCGTCTCCTGCTGACTACTGAAAGCTACCTGGGAGAGTTTAAGAGGGTATTTTAAGAAAACGACCTTCCATCATGGGGGGAGGAGGGAGGGCTCTTGGAACAGCTTCAGTCAGAGTTGGTGCCCCTAAGCGGAGATCTGCTTGGAAGTTACAACGCCCTGATTAAGGGCGTTTGACTCTCTCCACGTACCTTGTGCACAGTTCTAGGCACACATCCCCACATCCTGCAGGTATAAGTGGAGACAGCCAGGTGCTACAGCATCCAGACAGAGTGCCTAAGGATGTGAAAGGAAGCAGACAACCACTGCTCCAAAGAGCACACAATCCAAGCCGGACCTGATACGCCGCTCGCAGAGCCTCAAGTGCCGTCTTTGCAGGATTGGGGCCTGAATAAGATCATGCGCGGACACCGAACAGTGCATGGGGGAGCAGCATCACAGTTATACACTTGTGCAGTTCCTCTGTAAGACACAGATTCTGCAGAGCACTTAAGCACATGCTTCGCTTTATGCATGTACTTAGATCCCCCACGACTTCAGCAGGGCTCCACATGGTGTAGGAGCCCGGGATCAAGGCCTAGAGGCAGGTGCACAACTCGATGCTTCCACTTCTTTTTAATAAGGCTGCCTTTTTTTAAGCCGTCCCAGTTTCTAAGGGGAGAGGCAGATCAAAGGCAGTATATGAAAACCCCCTTACAGAAGAGAGACATTCCTTTAAAAGGGAATACACACAACCCTGAAAGGCTGCTCAGCTAGGCAGAGGGCATTGGCACTGATGACAGGAAGGCTGGTCCAGTGGCTAGGTGCTAGCCAGGAATCCATGCAAGTCAAGTTCCATTCTCTGCTCTGCCACCGCCTTCCTGTGTGTCCTCAGGCAAATCTCTTAATCTCTGTGCCTTGGTGCCCCCTCTGGGAAAAGGGACACACCAACAGGGGAGGAAAGCACTGCGAGGGTAAAGATATGGAAGACTGAGGCATTCAGATACCACAGTAAGGGAAGCCATGCAAGTAGCTAAGACACAACATTTTGTTTCAGAAGTTGAGCATACTCCTAGACTGCATTAAATAATTCAGTGCCCTAAATACCCCACTTCTCTAAGGAAAGCAGGTGTAATTCATTTTCAGTAATACCCAGCTTTGATTTAGCATGTTGCGAACCAGACTCAGTTCCTCTGCACCCATGTTCTTTTGAATCTTTGATTTGTTCGGTGGAGGGGTTGGAGAGAGGTGGGGAGGGGCGGGAAGGAGCTCCTGCCAGTGGCAGCTGCAGTGGAGAGCATGCTTAGCTAGTCAGTTGCCTTATAAATCCCTAACAATTTGTATGTCCCAAATCTGCCAGCAACAGGCTACGATGCTGGCAAGGTCTCACACGAGTCTTGTTTCGGCTCTCTAGGAACGGTAATTTTACATTAAATACGGTGTATTCCATAGACTCCTAGGGCTGGCAGAGACCTCAGGAGACGATCGCATCCAGCCCCCTGCCCAAAGCAGGACCAACCCCAACATTTGGTCACCCTCTCAAAGACAGAAAGAATGAAGCTAAGAGCCCAAAACACTGATCCGGGAGAAACGGTCTTTTTTAGAGCAATGATCATGAATCTCTGCTACGCCCTGGCTACCCCTGGCAAACAAAGATACGACGTTCTGAACGGTGCCGACTAGCCACAGCAGACAACTCCACTACCGAACGCACGAAGCGCTTTCTGCCTGAGTTACCTGAGCCGGCGTCCCCGAGCTGCTGCAGTTTTCCCAGGAATTTCTGTGCGTCCTTTATGCTGCTGTCCTTCTGGCCGTACAAGAGCAACCTCTTGGCATCCGAGAACAAGCGGGAAATGCTGCAGGAGAGGGATGGGAAAGCAGACAGTGCAATCGTGACCTGAGCCACCTTCCACCAGCTCCGTTTTACATCTCCGTTCCTTTATAGCCAAAGCCAACCCTCGTCTGTACTCAGGGTAGTTTGAGGAAGCCTAAATCAAAGCCATCTTTAGAGGAAAGGTTAAAAAAACCTGCCCTGGGAGCCTTCAGGTTACTTAAGTCACGGGGGATGCCAGGTGCTTCTGGTATGGCTGTCTTATTTTACCTGCTAGGATAAATCACGGCTTGTAAAACGCCTCCACAAATACATCCCTGGTCTTTTACGATTCTTTTCCAGGTAGCCAAAGTCAACTGACCCCCCGAACGCCAACTGTTCCGGGATTATCCCTGTGGGCGTAGGGACAGGTGGGCGCAGACCATATTTAGCGCACAGTGAGGTGGGAAGGGAAGGGCGCCAGGCAGCCAGTCCTGGCTAACATCCCTGTTCTCAGCAGCGCACCGCTGCCGGGGCACATCCTCCCACAGGGGCTGGGGAGAAGCAGCTACAAGAAGTCTCGAGCTGCTGCAGTTTTCCCAGGAGTCCACTAGCCGGGAGTGGACACTTGAGCAAGGTTCCTCCCAAGTGCCACCCGCTGCGAATGTCCCAGGGGATACAGCGCATCTCTGAGAAGCAATGCACCTCTGGGGCAGCACAGAGTCGCACCAGTCGCCCAATGGAGCGGCCCTCAAAAGGCACCTGCGAGGGCCAGCGGGAGGGACGTGCAGCGAGGGTGAGGCGCTGGACATTCTCCTTGGCGGCTCGCCCAAAATAGCAAAATCGAATAGCACTGCTTTCGAAATAGCCGACTCCTTTCAAAGCTGTGTGGACGCTCCATGTGTTACTGCAAAGTAACTCCCTAGTGCAGACCAGGGCTAAGGTGGCAGCTCCCAAATTCAATAGCTTCCCAGCCAAGGATCAGGCAGCTTTTTTCCTTTCTACTGGAGAAATTCTACCCCAATTATGTTCGCTCTTTAGTCAGGGCAAACCTTTTTATCTTGCCGGAAGCTCTGCCTGAGTAGGGTTCACTCCTGTTAGGCTGGGTTTGCACACTCATTGGCTAACTCTAACCGGACATGCTTTATAGGGCAGGCGTGGCCTCTGTGTACAGTTCCTTCACAGTCCAGCTGCAGGAAAGCACCACCGCAGAACACTGCTCTGGAAGTATCTAACTGCCTGCTGCTGCTACCACCACTCACAGCTTATGCCTAGAGTGTTGTCCCCCAAAAACGGTCCCCGGGAAAAACCACATCTTGGACTTACATGGACCTGTTGAAGTTTCCGACGACCCCGGGGGATTCCCCGGGTGTTGGGTAGCGGAAGCAGGGGTTGTTGGCATTACAGATGATCCCTTGGACCCAGGGCAAGGTTCCCGCCGAAGGCATGGCCTTGTTTGGAAAGTGACCTAGAACAAAGACAAACGTTTGGAAAAGTTACCTTTGTTTGCAGAATCGGAAACATAGCCAAGAAAAGGGGAAGAGAGGGAGGGGGAAGTGTGACATTGTTTGCAGAATCGGAAACATAGCCAAGAAAGGGGGAGAGAGGGAGGGGGAAGTGACACAGTAAGAAGTTGCAGCAGGATTGGGCCCTACAAACATCAACCATGCTGTCCCCCCCAGGAACTTAGAGGTCATGAGTCCAGCCCCCCCCAAACTTGTGAGAGTGTAATACTAAGTAGGGGCTCCTCTCTTCCTTCAGGTTTGAGCGCCTTTTGAGTTATGTTTTCAGGCATGTCTCCCACAAAGGAGAGAGACTTTGGTTTGACTGAAAGCTGACTTAATCGCAGGATTCCAGGATCAGGGACTTCCAAAAACAAGAGACCAAAAATTGTGACACCCACTTAAAAAAAAAGATTGAGAGACTTGGCAACACTGAATCAACAGGAGTTTGGAGTGAAGAAGGAATCCAAGGCCTGGCCCTGTTTGGAGCTAGAGTGCTCGCCGAATTCTCTCCTCACCAGTCCTTGGGTTTGTATGGATGAGCAGGGCATCTTCCCATGCCAGGCTACAAACCAGCAGGCAGCCAGAAGAGGTAAGAAGCAAGGGGCTGCATTTTTTGCAGGGGAAGGGAGCAACGTGGCTCTCTTCCCTGTTTCCTTCCCTTGGCTCAAATAAGTTCTTGTGCTCTCCCACCCCAGTAGGGACTAGCAGCACGGTAACTTCCCCAGGCTCCCCCTGGATCCCCTTCTTGCTTCTGCCGGAGAGGGAGGTAAAGACTCCATTCGGTCTTCATGCCCTTCCTGTCGCTCCAGGAGTGGCCTGCAGGGAAAGAAGGGCGTTCTCTCCAGGGCGTTCTCCCCAGGGCGTTCCGCACACAACGCCACTAAGCTCCAGGTGCGCACACCTCCCGAAGCCAACAAAGCCATTCTGGATTTGCCCTGCTGTTGGCTCAGGTCTACATGCAACCTTTGTGTTTGGGGGTGAACCCCTGTAGCATTCCAGGGAGGGGGGGGTGGATGCCACCTCTAGGCCCCCTCTAATCAATTTGCATTTTGTACTCCCCCCCCCCCCCAAAAGGTACTCCCAGCTTCGCCCAGCCAAGAGAAATCACTCTTCAAGTTTTCCATACTGCCTCAGAACGATTCAGGTAAGGATGTGAATTACTAGGGAGAGTGAGTTTTGTTAGTGTTTCACAGGAATGACTGGGGTCTTCTCTCCTACCAGACAGGTTGACAGAGGCCACATTCTTGTGACCAGGAAAGTGGAAGGAACTGCTGCGACATTTACAGTACATAGAAGGCAAAATGAGTTCCCCACAACTATGAGGAAGAGATGGTCTCCTGGCGATCACCTTTAGTCGAATTTGCACAAAATTACCAATTTGAACCTGGGATTCTACGTTTCAAGTTCTTCCCCCTTTCTAGAAAGCTGGAAAACTCCCACAGTTCCAAGGATGCGAATTTCTCTTTGTTCGATTTTCTAATTTTGTAAATCAGGAAGCTTCTTCACCATCTCCGAGCTCTTCCGTGACAGGGACGGAATTTAAAAAACACAAAGCACACACAACCACCCTTCTCACCCGCACTTTAAGTTTCCCCAGGCACAAAGAACACCACATCTAGTTTGCGCTGATCAAGGAAGTTAGCAAAGAACAAATATCAAGTCTTGGAGAACGAGATGCACATGTTGTAGCATTCTGAACTGGAACAAAATCTTATCTGAGGTAAACCATCTTGTTAGTCTGGCCCACGAAAGCTCATCATCTAATAAACCATCTTGTTAGTCTGGCCCACGAAAGCTCATCATCTAATAAACCATCTTGTTAGTCTGGCCCACGAAAGCTCATCATCTAATAAACCATCTTGTTAGTCTGGCCCACGAAAGCTCATCATCTAATAAACCATCTTGTTAGTCTGGCCCACGAAAGCTCATCATCTAATAAACCATCTTGTTAGTCTGGCCCACGAAAGCTCATCATCTAATAAACCATCTTGTTAGTCTGGCCCACGAAAGCTCATCATCTAATAAACCATCTTGTTAGTCTGGCCCACGAAAGCTCATCATCTAATAAACCATCTTGTTAGTCTGGCCCACGAAAGCTCATCATCTAATAAACCATCTTGTTAGTCTGGCCCACGAAAGCTCATCATCTAATAAACCATCTTGTTAGTCTGGCCCACGAAAGCTCATCACCTAATAAACCATCTTGTTAGTGTTTAAAGTGCTACATAGTCCTGTTTTTTGTTTCAACTACACCAGACTAACACAGCTACATTTCTATCACTTATCTGAGGAAGTAGGTTTTACCCACAAAAGCTCATGATAATATATTTGTTAATCTCTAAAGTGCCACACAACTATATCCTGGAGAGGCACAATAGTAGCTCTCAGCAAACAGAAATACTCTACATGTAGAAGGGCAGCATACGGAATGTCACTGTTTCCTTGCAATGATATAGCTGAAAACACCACTTGGCTTTTTCAGTAGCCTTTAAGTAATGCATATTTCTTCCTAAGCAAAACATGTTTTCAAATTCCGAGGAGACTGATGAAAAAAGCAAGCTTCCATGAGATAAAGATAGTAATCTCGTTAGCGCTGTATTTGCAGTGGTCTGTTTGGCTTGGCTATGGTGGTAAAATAAAGGGGGGGGGGAGGGGGGAAAAAATCTTGCTGACTGTATCAGGTAAGAGCCCTTAAACCAATTGAGGCTGTTAAAAATTACCAAAATCCTGAACTGAAAAGGCTCAGCCTCATACATGACTCAACCCTTGCTTACATTCTTGTCCTTTTCAGATAAGATTAGACAGCTGACGATTTTTGGTTTTTAGCCCTGCTCGGCACAGTAAAATATTTCATATCGCATTGTTGGAAAGTGTTTGCACATTGCTAAGTTCCTCTTATAATTTGTAATGGTCTGGGAGTCATTTTATCACACCCTCCAGAATAGTCAGCACAGATAACAATTCTGTTCTAAAGACACACACACAGCTGCCCCAGAGTTCACTGTGACCTGATTTGAAGGTTTCCCTCCATAGCCTGGCTCCCAATTCAACCAGAGACAACAGTCCACTTTTACAAAACTCATCCGTGTCTATTTGCAAACGAGTGAATGTTCAATGAAACTGACCTGCACTCGAAAGAAGCTTAAAAGAAAGAATCTAGTGACTTATCCTCAGAAGCTATTAGATGAAAGGAGAGATGTGAACGCCAAGTGGTCAAATGCCACTCCACACTTCCTGCTAAAAGCCTCTGAAAAAAATAAGCAATTATTCAATAAAAGGGCAGGATTCCATGTCAAACAGCGGTCGATTAAAATTCCACTCCTGACACAGCTGGGTTACAGTAAAGGGTTTAGGGCAGACATCTGCAAATCTCAACAGGGATGCTTCTGCCTTTCAGGCTTCACACAAGACCAGAGCTTCAGCGGTGTGAGCGAGCACGGGCAGAGTTACACGGATTTACACCAACTGAAGCTCTGGCTGAGTCCATTTGTTTTCCCGGAGCTTGAGGCCCTCTGTCACAGTCTCGCCTGTCTGAACATCTCAAGTAAGGATGGGAAGAGGCAGGTAATTGTATCAGCTACATGATTAGTCGGTAAGGGAAGGCGCTCTGTCTCTGCCTGTGCTGGTCCAGGAGCGACCCCCGCTGAGGCTCTGAACTTTACATGCAGTAAGAGCTGCCCGCGCCAGGTCCAGTAGCCCCTGTCCATAGGGGATTCCAGCTCCTGCCACTGCAAACAGGGGCTGCTGCCGCCAACCAGGTTCTGCCCCGGTTAAATCCTTTACTTTAACCCTGCTTGAGGGCAGCCTCCCCAGTGCCTGTCCCCTCCGCCTCTGATAGAGGCAGCAGGGTGGGGAAGAGGAGAAGACAGGTGGCACCACAGAAACAGTGTTGGGGGGAGGAAAAAAAAGTTGGGGAGGAGAAGAAGACAGGTGGCACCACAGAACCAGTGTTGGGGGGAGGAAAAAAAGTTTAAGCCAGTTCCCCCCAGCACCAGCTCTTGTTCTCCCCTCCCCTTGCTGCCTCTGACGCAGAGGCAGCAGAAGGGGGAGGGAGGCAGTAGTCGAATAGTCAACTCAACTACCCAATAAGCTTAGGCTTGTTTACATCCCTGGTCTTGAGGTGTGCAACAGCTTGAAATTTCACCCATGGAGACTTCTGGTGCCTGCCAAGCATTAGACAGCATCAGGCTAGCTCAGCAAAAAAGAAAAACCTACACAACTGGCTATTGTCCAGAGCTGGCCAGATAATGGCAGAGCTGCAACCTCAGCACCTTGGCTCTGCGGGACTCCAGATGGGGAAGAAAGCATTTTTCTGGGAAGGGATTCCCAGCTGGCTTGAAGCTCTAGCAGAAAGCATCCTGTCCAGCAGTCACTCGTGCAGGAATACTGCGCTAAGGCAGCACCGCTTTTCACAATCATCCGCTGCGGTAGTGAATTTTATAAGTCAAGGGCCGGGCACTCCCCGGTGAATTCAGTTAAGCAAAATTCTCTGAACTTGGGCATTAGGCGGAACCCAGGAATAACGAGGTAAAAGAAAGAAACAAGGAGCCCTCCCCCACACAAGTCAGGCTTGCTACACAACGGGCATCACTGTAGCTAACGGGAGGAAGGCAAAGAGGTAAGAGCGACCAGTCTAGGTCCATAGATAATGTGGAAGGACAATGCCAACCAGTTTCCCCACAACAAAAAGAGCAGCCCGTGATTCCAGCCGGCCCACGGTGCCCCCGTAAGATAAGCTGGCTCCATCCAGGGTCTGCTAACGAGGTCCCTGGTGTTTTTACATTCCTCAATATGTAGATTGCAGAAGCACCCACAGGCCCCTCGGTGGGATGGGGCCCAACCTTTCTGGTTGCTCTCCAGTCACACTAAGTGTTTGCCCTCTGGCCTGAGATCTTATCTAACTAGACAGGGCAGCCAACCAGCAGGCAGGCAACAGAGGGGAAGGGACTAGTCCAAGGTCACACAGCAGGGCAGAAACCGAGCTAGACAGAGAACCCAGGTTTCCCCGAGTGCAAGTCCTGTGCCCTACCCAACGGGCTAGGGATGTGAACGGGTAACCAGTTACCTAGGTAGCAGTCAACCAGCTCTTCTGCAGGCAGCCTTGCTAAGCAGCAGGCAGGTGAAAGGGGCAGGCTGGGGGGGAGGGTGTGCTCCCACTTCCGGGGCCCTTTCAGGAGAGCGGGGGGGGGGGGCGGTATCCTCCTGCCTCTTCCCGTATCAGAGAGCGAGGAGCAAGCGCTCAGCTTGTGCCTTCCTCTGGCTCTTGGAGGAGGATGCAGCAGACTGTGAACTTCTATCAGGGCGGGAGGGGCAAGAGGAAGAGGAGCAACAGTGACCCACTATGTGGCTGCAGCTCCCACCCTCCCAAAATAGCACCTTGGCCCTCCCCCCTTACCCTCTCCAGCCCTCCGACTCCCAGGCCGGACTCCTGAACCCCCCGCATCTCCCTGCCCCTGGCTCCCTCTGCCCTAAATGCAGCTCTATTCTTGAGGCACCCCAGCGGCCCCTCTATCTGGGGCACAGGGAGACTGAGCGAGGCTCTCGCTGCACCCCCGAGCTGCAGTGCGACAGCACACGGTAGGCTTTTCACATGCACCGTTCACACCTGGACTGTCCCCACTGGCTCCAAAACTTACTCCCGTCATGCAAGGGCACGGCCAGATTGGCAGCTGCTAACCCAGGCTTTCTGTCTGTTTTCTGTCCGGCAGCAAGAGCCAGGCTGCTTACGGCACTCTCGTCTCATGCTGCCCTGAATGTGGCTCCCTGCTGGGGTCTTAGCCACGGATGGAGAGGGAGGCTGGGGTGTTTTCCAGAGGACGCCCCCCCAGCGAGGGGTTCTCTCAAGGCATTTGCCTAAACCAGCATCACCAACTCCACACATGCCCAAGGGAAGCTGCAGAGAGGTCTGATGCTGGAGCAAAAGGCCACTGAAGACCCCAGATCCACCCCGGTGGCAACTGGAGGGGGAAGCAGAGGGGCTGTTAAACAGCCCTGACTAAGCTGTGATTGTCAGTCAATGGGCATTCCCTGTAACCCACGCACCAAACGACCACCCTAGGGACTCGCGTCTCACTTGTCACTTACATTCGTGTTGTTCGTAGGGCGGATACGACAGGCGCACCGAGATCAATATAAAGAAGATGAAGAGAGGCCAGGCCACCTCAATCAACAGCTGCAGCTGGAAAATTTAAAGCACAAAGCATTAGGGTTTCATAGTGACGATGTGGAGGAAGAGGAGATCACTGCAGCACCCGAGCGTAAGTCAGGAGAGACACTGGAAGCATCGTGCCAGCCGGCTCCGCCAACGTGCTCTGAAAGAGTTGGGGTGTTGTGGATCCCAGGGGCCTTGGGCAGCTGTTATGTGGTGGTTACACTGAACACACGCCTGTTGAGGGCTCGCCTCTGGTTGGTTTTCGATGGTTAACGTCGACCTGTGGGGTGCAGAAGTGACGCTAACCCCAACGCATCTCATAGCTGCTTGCTGAAACGCTGGCCTCCTGTCGGGGGTAGCTGAGAAGGGGCGTTCCCATGTGGTGGTTACACTGAACACACGCCGTGTGCTGTTGAGGGCTTGCCTCTGGTTGGTTTTCGATGGTTAACATCGACCTGTGGGGTGCAGAAGCGACACTAACCCCAATGCATCTCATAGCTGCTTGCTGAAACGCTGGCCTCCTGTCGGGGGTAGCTGAGAAGGGGCGTTCCCCTGGCCAAGCCCTAAACCTTTAGCCAGGAACCAGGAGCTCAGTTCCAGCTGTTAACAGCCAGGTGCATCTAAAACACCACCACGGAGAGCAGCCATTACAGCACACCTGGTCCCATGCTGTCATCTCCTGCCTCTCCATCACCCACTCCTCTAGTACCTACAGGCCCTAAGGCAAGCGGGGGGGTCCCACTGCACTAGGAGTTGTATGTACCCCTAGTGAGAGACAGCTGATGTGAGGACTTCCGACAAGCTACATAGACCAGATGAGAGTATTATCCCTGTAGCGTTCCCTGGATGCATGGCTCAAGCACTGAGATATGAGCGTGTTATCCAAGGATAGACGCTCTGCCTGTGTCGGAGCCAGAAATGGAAGCTATCATGTCTGTGTCCCTGTCTAGTTCCTTCCACCCCTACGTTTGCTGCCCAGAAAGCTCCTCTACCTGCAAGCTAACCTAAGGCAAGAGCAAAAGGAGGATTTAAAGTTGTTCACATTTTGCATATCACACACACACACACACACACCAATCATGTTGATCATTCATTGGCTCAGGTGTTACCCCTTCATTTACAACCTTCCGGGAAACTCAGCCTAGCCTGGTCTTGCCTTAACCAGCAAGGGTCCAGTTTGGTCTTTACACATGCACATAGGTCACCGGGACAAGGCCAGGATCTCACCGTGAGCTACAACCCTCCACACTGCTCAGTATCTATGTACTGTACCAAGAACCACCAGAACTAGTCCCTCAACATTCAATAGAGGACACTCCAGGCAAAGGCCAGGGAAGACAACTGGATATTTGCCAACAAGGCAGTTAAACCCACTCAGTAAAAATGGTGCATTTACTCCAACACTACAGGTTGAGCCTCCTAAATCTGGAACTTTCTGGTCCGGCAACATCCGTGGTCCAGGAGAACCCCACAGAGAATAAACGTAGGCATAAGATGGCCTTTTTCAAGATCATTTTGGTTACTGGGTCCATTCCATTCCCTAGCGTCCATCAACTAAAAAACCCCCAGAGCCTCTTCCTTTTCCTGCGAATGCTCACTGAGTTTCCCTGATGCCAATTACTTGCGATACTATTTACCTGCGCTGCTTTTCATCAACAGCTCCTTTTACGAAGGTAGGGAAATAACCCCCTATTCGTACACACAAAGCCAGAGAGGCACCCGGGCATGCAGCAAGTGTAGCCTAGACTCCCAACTGACAACGACTAGATCACCTTGCCTCCCGTGGAACAGAGACAGCAATGAAAAGCTTCTAAACGCACTGAGTAATCCATTCCCCACCCTAGACTCTGGGCCAGAATCCTTCAGGGACAGGACTGCCATGCACATGCCCGGCAGCAGGGTACAAGGTTGCCAGGTGTCCAGTTTTCACCCAGTCTAGTTAAAACACAGAAAATACCGGATATATAAAATGTCCGGTATTTTCCATTTTTCTTGGACAGAAAGCCGGTGGGGACATTCTTTCCCTGGCACGTCTGGCCAGGGGAAGAGGATAGCAGAGCGCACAGGGATATTTAAAGGTGTAATGACTTTTTTGGCTCAACAAGTTTGGTCTCCCCCCTTTTCTTTGCTCAACCAATTTTTTCCACCCCATGTTCAGTTTTTTTGTTTTGTTTTTTTTAGTTTGCAGCAACTCTAGTGATATGCCACCAGCCATGCTGGGTTTTAGTATTGTTAGTCACTGTCACACTGCTGACTTGCACCACTGCAGACTCGAATGGGGACAGTTAGATCTAGCGATGTGGCAAGAGCCCCACCGAACACGCCCCTCCACAGTGCATCACCCTGAAGACACGGCTCCTGGGGAACGCAGGGTGTTGCCCAGAGCTCCGTGGACACAGGTCACGTGCACATCTCAGTCCCTTTCGTAGACTGCTGTTCGCAAAGGAGCAGAGTAGCAGGAGGTGCTGCTGAACAAAGGGAACTGAACCAGCGCATGCAACCGTGACCCCTGCCCCCTGCTTTGCCTTCCCTTCCCCAGGGAGCACGCCGTACACTTTGCACAGGACAACTTCCACCACCACAGAAGCAACACCTGGGCAGCACACGTCAGGCTGAGCTTTGAACCCGGCTTTTGCAAGGCAGCTCCAACTCACTCCAGCTTGGAAGCAAAGGAGAGATAGGAAACGCACTGCAGGGACTCAGCTCCAGGAGCTCTTGTGGCAAGAGGGGAAGGGGGGGGGGGGGAAGAGAAGAAGAATCTAAAAGTGTTTCATCTGTCTACACACAAGCTGTTGGCTGGGTCAGATTTTTGGCTGGTGCAAAATCAGACTTGAACTGACTTCCATGCTCCTATGCTCATTGACAGTGATTCAATACTCTTCCCCTTTTGGCACTGCCCGTCCAATCCCACAACTCAACCAGTAGCAAGACAAAAGCATCAGGGACAGGCAGCAGAGCAGGTAATTAAGTTGCTCCACCCAAGGCCTTGGTTACAAGTTCACTAGAAATTATTAGTACGGTCTCTCATCTGACGGGCGATGAGCCAGGAATAGCACAGCACCGATGAAGTCTGGAAAGGACCAAAAAAGGCTAAGGGGTCAAGACACTCGAGAACACGATGCAAGGCAAGAGCCGGAAGAGTTTTCTCATTGACTGTCACACAGCTCACTCTTCTCCTAAACAGGTCAGTAAGTTTTTGGCCTCATCAGAAGTCTAGTTATGCCCATGTTGCCCAGTAAAGCCAGGCCTGGTCAATACACATTCAAAACTAAAAGCTTTAATCCGCCTTCTATTTCATTCAGGACTCTCTGGAGGGAAGGGTAAGAGATTCTTGAGATACAGAGGCCAATGCCTCAGTGAGTGCAAGCCAGTGGATGTCAATGGATTGCTGCCCATCAATACCAAGGGAGGATGGGGATCTATATGTTTTGTATGCCAAGGAGGAGACGTCGTTTAGAGAGTTACGGAGATTAACGGAGTTATGGAGATTAATGGATTTCAGCTGCACAGCTATGGGCCATGCTGCAGGTTTCTGTTTAGTTCTGCAGAGATCAGTTAATAAAAGGCCTAGAAGCAGGGTGCTCAGCCTTTTCTATAGAAGGAGCCCTTCAAAAGCCAGCAGTACATGGCTGGGACTGGAGAGAGAAAAAGCTAAGAGCCCCCTTAGAGAAAGCAAACGAAGTGCTGCAGAATGGGATAAGCGTGAACCTGAAGGGACGGGCAAAGTTCCATGGCCTTTGACGGTATCTATCCCCTGATAACACTGGTGCTCGCTTGATCTTATGTAACGCATCCAAGCAGACATGGGTTCCACTCCCACTAGCGAACAGTTGGAAATGGTTAAAGAGCTTATCCGACTACTTTGCACCCCCAGTTCCCATAACTCATCTCATGCTGATGGTGCATTCTCCATTCGCACGTCACCGAGGTCAGACCTGTCCTGACACCAAAGCGCCAAGGCAAGGCATCTCCTACCCTCACTGGCAGAGTTACCCGAACGACACTCCAAAACAACTCTTGCTCCAGGGCTTGGATGTCCCAACAGCTAGCCACAGGTGGCTATTTGGCCAGTGAAGTGTGGCTAGTTTGCTAGAGCCATAGCCACTACAGTTCTGGGCCCCCCACTATAGAAAGGATGTGGGCGCATTGGAGAGGGTCCAGCGGAGGGTGACCAAAATGATTAGGGGGCTGGAGTGCATGACCTATGCGGAGAGACTGAGGGCAAGTCTACACTTGCACCCTTGGAGTGCATGACCTATGCGGAGAGACTGAGGGTTTGTCTACACTTGCACCCTATCGAAATAGGGATGCAAACGCAGGCATTCGAAATTGCTAATGAAGCGGGGATTTAAATATCCCGTGCTTCATTAGCATGATCTTGCCAGCGCGCTAGTTCGAATCACAGCTGATTCGAACGCACGCCGGGATGCGTTAGTTCGAACCAAACCCCTTGGTTCAAACTAACGTTACTCCTCATTTTTCTTGCAGTGCGCCTGTCTGAAGGCAGGGCTGTGCGCTCATACAGCTACTACGTCAGCCATTCGAAAGCCACACCGCATACAAGACAGCAGTCTGGAGCTGAACAGACACGAGCCATGCACGTGAGTCCTTTCATGATGGGACCACATCAAGAGAGGAATCTGATACTGCCGCTAGGGTGACAGATGTGGCAGGGGGTAGCCCACTAGACCAATGGACATGTGGTGAGTAATGTGGAAAGGATCAAGACTTCCTCCTGGAGCATGCGACAGTCCCTACCCCAGGCTCAGTCCCTACCCACAGCTGGTCTGGTGGTGTTGCTTCACTGGAAGCCATAACAATCACTACACAAACGCTCAGGCAAGCTGGGCCCCGCTCCTTTGTGTAGCAGCGGAGTCTGTCTTATCTCCAGACCGGGCAGGCTCCAATATGGCCACACTTGGCATAGAAAAGAGGAGACTAAGAGGTCTATAAAATCATGACTGATGTGGAGAAAGTGAATATGGCAAAGTTATTTACTTGTTCCCATAACATAAGAACTAGGGGGTCACGAAATGAAACAAACAGGTAGCAGGTTTAAAACAAAATGAAGAAAGTTTTTCCTTCACACCACACGCAGTCAACCAGTGGAACTCCTTGCCAGAGGAGGTTACAAAGACCAGGACTTTAACAGGGTTTAAAGAAGAGCTAGATAGAGTCATGGAGGTTCGGTCCATCAATACTTATTAGCGAGGATGGGCAGGGATGGTGTCCCTAACCTGTGTGTCAGAGACTGGAAATGGGTGACAGGGGAGGGATCACTTGATGGTGACCTGTTCTGTTCACCCCCTCTGGGGCACCTGGTATTGGCCATTGTGGGCAGACAGGACCCTGGGCTAGATTGGACCTTTGGTCTGACCCAGTGTGGCCATTCTGATGTTCTAAGTTCTGCCTCCTCTGACTTTGGTTCTGAAACGATGTGCCGAGTGCCTGAGTTCCCACTGACTAGATCACCTCAGTGCCTTGCAGAGGCCTGAAACCAGAGCTCAGCTATGAAATATGGACATTTTAACAGGATACATCCGGCCCGCCCGGTCCTCTGTCTGCCTGGAGGGTTTGGACTTGGAGGCGGCAATTCAGGCAGGCAAGCCAAAAGAACAGCTCAGGCTTACCGTCTGTCTTCTCCGGTACGTGAAGTTTTTCCACAGCAGCAATCCCAGCTGCGTCCCGAAAGCCATCGTCCTTCAGCACGCCCGGGAGCTGCCCTGCACCGCAGCCGCCACACGCTGCCGGGACACTGCGGCTGGGCAGTCACTGGAGAGCAGAGACAAGGAGAGGAAAAGCCCAGTTATAAACAAAGCCCAAAGTGAACAAGTATCACAGTCTAACCTCACTTACGCCCACGCACGCCAACTCAACCCACTGCTGCTGCCAGAGGGTTCTGGCCCACCCCCCTCCCACCGTGCTGGGGGTGCAAACCAGCGCAGACTTTGACCCTGGGCAGCAGTTCTCTAAAGGCTCCAAGACTCAAAACGAAACATCCCCCAGAGGGCAATTCCCCTGCTTACTGAAAGGAAAACTCCAACTAAGCGACAGTGTTAGAGACTGGGAGCTGCTTTGGAGAATCTCTGGTTTCAGTTTGGGGAGAAACCCTGGGTCAGTCGAGGCTTCTCTATAGGAGACAGAACAAGCACACCAGGGCTAGCCCCACCCCATAATCAGCTATCTGGCTAAACGTCACGTTTAACCGGTTAACCAAACAGGATTTTACATCCCTACTGAGGGCACAGGCCTTCCTAATGCATCTGCACTTGATGGGCAAAGGCAATAGAAAATCCCTTCCCTCCCTTGCTAGGGAAGGTTAGCACACTGCTTGCTATGATGCCACCGATCCATCCTCCTGAAGACCAAAATCCTGACCCACCAGCGACTCCACAAGGTGCAAGATAATCACAGCAGTGCCGAGTATAAAATGCTCCCAAATTGATTTGGCCATTGTGAGTGTGGCACATTCTGACCTGGCAGCATTTCACACTCACTTTGTACCCAGGTGCAGGGCAACACAGAATCCGATCTCTAGAATTCATTTTGCTATCAGTTTCGTCATACAATAGGTGAACAGGGTGACTTTTCTATGCGGCAAAGCTCTAAGCCGTTATTCAAACACCGATATAGCGGCTCTTCCTTGATATTAGTTCCATGGATAACACACGCATATGCTTTTGATCATTCGACACCCCTTTGCACTGTGATTTAAGTTACATTCCTGCCTGCAAATGGCAGCAAAAGCACTCCCAAAATTCACACACACCACGAACGTAAAACTCGGGTGAAAATCTGACTGGTTTTACAGACTAAATAGGGTTGCCATTTCCAAAAAAAATACTGGACACACGTGACATCACAATCTACATTACATCTTATTTAGAAAATACTGGACATTTATACTCTCAATTTGTTTCCCCGAACAGAAAGCTCAAATACTGGACTGTCCGGTTAAAAAAACCGGACACCTGGCAACCCTAAGACTAAATGTGAATAATCTGGCCTTAAAAAAAAAAAAAAAGCCACTCTGATTCAAACAAACATCCTGGCTAACGAGTTCTTCTTAGCCTTGTCAAAGACTAAACATCATTATCGCAACACCAAACGTCACAGCAACCTTCAGGATTGAAGCCTGGATGACGGAAATCTGACATTTGCAGAATGGAACGACCAAAACCGATTAAACCCAACTGCTATCGTACCAGATTCCTAGGCAAACCACGCGTTAGAAGCTCAGTGCTGCTTCACATTCATAGCGGGAGAACAAATGAAGAGGCAGAGAACCAAAGAAACAACAAGGATGTAAGTGATCTATGTCCATCCAGAATCACCTCAGTCTAGAGTCCGTGTAGGCCCATGTACGGTCCCTGGATTCTAGCAGGTTCTAGGAAGGTTGTTCATCCACACACAAGCTACCTCCCGCTGGAGTCAGGAAGTGTCCGAGTGCACTGTGAAAAAGCAATGCCTCTGATGTTCCAGTGGCATGGACATGTGGTTCCCAGAGCTGACCGACTTTGCACAACACCCAAGGGGGAGGGGGGGAATTTGGCTTCTGACAACGAGGTCAAAGGACAAGCTTTGGCCTCCAAGGACTCCGGTCACCCAGCACGCTTGATCACAGAGAAGTTGCAGCAGAGAGGCTCTGTTAAACTGTAACAAAACACCACTCTGAAAAGAAACTCAAGTAGGGACTTTTCCGCCCCCTCTACTGCTACTCATTCTGAAGGGGGCCTGAGTCGCCATTGCTTTTACTGGGGATCAGAAAGCATTTTCTTTACAAGCCTCAGGAAGAAATCTGAGCATGTCTGTTGCATTACGATACCAATCAACACCGATTCTCTGCCACCACTCACTCAGGTATATTGCCATATATTTTCCTTTCTACTATCTCATAGAACCAGAAGGGACTTTGAGGTCATTGAGTCCAGTCTCCCACCTGCACTACAGGACCAAGTACCATCCCTGACATCTTTGCCCCAGATCCCTAAAGGGCTCCCTCAAGGATTGAACTCCCAACCCTGGGTTTAACAAGCCAATTCTCAAACCACTGAGATACCCCTCCCTCAGGAAAGTGCCCTCGCAACCGGATAGAACACTCCTGCTTTTCAAGAATTTGCTACATGTCTGTGGGCCAGGAATCCACCTTTTGCAATTCCCACTGCAGCACATCCTTTTTTTTTTTGCTATAACTTTATTAGGTGCAAGAGATAAACACTCAGCTGAGTTTAAACAGCAGGATGGTTTGGCTCAAAAATCCCTGAAGTGGTCAAAACCACGACTTGCCATATTAACTCAAGAATGCTGCTTGTGTTATTCCAAACTGTACCCAAACCTATTCACGCCTACCTCTCAGCCACCTAGAGCTACCGATCTGAGGACTCTGTACAGAGACATCCTGTTTGTTGATGTCTATGACTGATACTCAGAGATTGCAAAACACTTTTATGCCTGCCTAAAGCTGGCTAGGACTTCAATGGACTTGTGAGGCAGACAGAGCTGGTTCATTTGTGACATAAGATGACTAGCTCCCCAAATTCAGAGAATTCCCAGTGGGTAAGAATCTCTGTGCAAAGTGACTCCCCCCCCCCAGCCTCCTTCAGATATTTCAGACGCTTATTTTTCCAGCTGTCACAAGGATGAGAATTAAAACATCTGTGGGAAGACCCTTGGCATAGCAGATGCCGCTAGGTCAGCTAGAAAGCAAAATCTATCAACATTTCTACCCTCACCTATTTTGATGGGTTGTTTTCAGCACAGCTGTAAAACTCCAGTCCAACTTGCCACAGAGAAGCGTAATGCTACAAACAACCACCTCTGCTGGTTTCAGACAGGACTGTGCGCCTCACCCCTTCAAGTCACATTTTGCGAGTCATTAGTATGGGACATCCACCCCAAAAGCACTGAATGCCACATTGGGGAATGGGAGTGTATTTTTGTCCTGTGCATTCACCACTATGGTTAAATTCTCTCTTCAGATGCTGAAGTATTGAAGTCAACAGGACAGCCACCTATTTATGCCAACAGAGAATTTGGCCCTTTCATTCTGTACCATAATTTGTTCTCCCATAGCCGGTGATCGTCAACAAGACAGCAAGAAGTCCTTTTACTCTGGCAGACAGTCCGGAGTGAGTTTTATTGGCTACCGCTGTCCTCGCGACTCCCTCCTGCCAACACTCACCACGCTGCACGGTGTTTGCTACTCCAAATAATCCAGCTATTCCCAAGTGAAAGAATGAGCAGGAACAGGCCCAGCAGAAAGATTCTGTGAGGTAGCCGCATACCCTGAGTTCACATACCCATTTGGTTGCCAGCTCTGTCACAAGCTTCTTGTACGTCCTTGGGTGAGTCACTTTTCAGTTCCACCCTTAAGAAATCCAGTAACTATTTTCTTCTTTGCTTGCCTTGCATACTTAGGGCTGCAAAATCTCCAGGACAGACACGGCCTCTTACTATGTGGCTGTCCAGCACCAAGCACATGGCGCAACCGAAAAGAAAAGAAAAATTTACCCTTACTTTACAATATCAAATCCCTGCCTGACCTCTTCTCTGCCTTCTCTCCCATCCCTGCTCCTCTCTCCCCCTCCCAGCACTTCCCGAGTGCCACAAATCGGCTGATTGCCCCCAGAGCCTAAATGCAGCCAAGCAGCTGATTCAAGGTGCTCCAGAAGTGCTGGGCGGGAGGGGGAAGAGTAGGTGAATGGGGGCCGTCCCATGTACACCAGGCATGGGGGAAGAAGGGGACAGAGAGGAGGCATGTGGGCTGCATATGGACACCCCCCCCCAAATAGGTTCCCACCCTTGTTTTAGGGGCTACTAGATTGCAAATAACGAGGAGAATGGATTACTGCTTGGAGCACGAAGCGGGTGCTGCGATTGCATTCTGGAGCCGTGCTCTGCTCTGCCCAGGCACATTAGTCACTGCAAGGGAGAGTGGAGTCCCAGCTACTGCTTCTGGTTAAGCACAAGGAGGAGCAAACCGAAGTCCCTTTGCCTTCCATCACAGGAGGACACAAGAATCTCAGGTGGGGGAAAGTGCTCCTCGGTCCCCACACGGGACGTTGGTTTGTCCTGCATTTGGTGGAACTTGCTTAGCAGAGGGACAAGCAGCCTAAGCTCATGCGCAGCTGTGCACATCCCCATTCCGATTCCTTGCCCGGGTGAGCAGACAGAGCTCTGCAAGCGGTACAAACAACTGGCCAGTCAGCCCTAACAACTGGCTGCGTATTGTCTGCAGCCACTGAAAAAAATCCAAAGGAGGGGGCCCAGGTGAGAGAAACGCGCCAGCGTCCTCTCAGTACCCCCCTCCCCACATCATTCCACTGGTTGTGGGGGTGTGAACTCTCCCCCCCCTCCGCCCCATCACCACATTTGTGAGTGGTTCACCTCAACTCACGGTAACTGCACTTTTATTCCCCCTCCACGGCCTGCCCCGGGCTCCCAGCTCTTCTGGGCACCACACTGCAAGAAAGGTGTGGAGAAAATTGGAGAAGGTCCAGAGAAGAGCAACAAGAATGATGAAAGGTCTAGAGAACAGGACCTGTGAGGGAAGACTGCAAGAACTGGGGTTTGTTTACTTTAGACAAGAGAAGACTGAAGGGGGACATGATAGCTGTTTTCAAGTATCTAAAAAGAGAATGTTAGAAGGAAGGAGAGAGAAAAATTGTTCCCTTTGGCCTCTAATGACAGCACAGGAAGCAATGAACTTAAACTGCAGCAACAGCAGTTTCAGTTGGACATTACGAAAAACTTCCTGTCGGGTGGTTAAACACTGGAATAAGTTGCCTAGGAGGGTTGTGGAATCTCCATCTCTGGAGATATTTACGAGCAGGTCAGACATTTACCCAGGATGATCTGGTGCTTGGTCCTGCTGGGAGAGCAGGGGACTGGACTTGATGACCTCGAGGTCCCTTCCAGTTCTATGATTGTGTGTGTCAATTCTCTTGGGAAGAGACCCCTGTTTACAGCCTTCCCAACTCCCTGCCACTACTTGCAGCAATCCATCCTGCCTAAACCAGGGTCTGTGCTTTGCTTTCCCTCCAGGCTCTAGGAACAGTACAGTGACCCACAGTTTTAAGTTACTACCCATCCCCACTCTCAGCAAGCCACACTTAGTCTTAAGGGGAAAGCATGAGAAAGGAAAAAAAATTAAACCTGTAAGAGTCTGATCTGCCTGCTAACAAGCTAACCAGACATCACCCTAACTCCCACCTCGGGCTCAGGCAAGGGTCAGATCTTCCCACCCCCCGTGGTTACAAGTTCATGATCTGAAATGGTTGTGAACCAGAAGCCTGGCCAGGCAGATCAGCCTATTTCTTTGTAATAAAAAAAAATCACCCTTGAATTGCCAGATAGGAACAGAAAAGGTGGCTTTCCTGGGACATAGCAAAAAGGGAGGGTGAATGCCACTGGAGGAGGTATATTTATGCAGAGCCCCATCTTTCCAAAAATTAACCCAATGAAAGACTCCAAAGGGCATGGGAGGAAGTTGTCAGACCTGTCACGGTGCAGCCCACAAAACCAATGGTTCAGACAAGTGGCACGGTCCAGACCCAAATGCCTCTACTCTGGCTCGGGGGCTGCAGAGCGCTAATTCTGATTTAGCCCAGTTCTAACGCCACTGTACCATCAGGGTGGGCTTCATTGCCTAACTCTGCATAAGAAAAGTTCTGTGGCTTGAACTGGGAGTGGGGTCTGTCCATCAGAAAATGCAGCCTGACACCAACTGTTACCTTTTCACTGTTAGCCAGGCCCCTTTCCCCAGTTTGTCCGACACCCTGACCTTCTGAACAGATCTCCAGCCCGACAGAGGTGCAGGGGAGGTTTCAGAGCAGAAGGCCCTGCCTGCACACGCCATCGGAGGGACGACTCAAGTAGAAAGTAAAACTGTTTTGAGCCATACACTATTGTAACGGACCGGCTTCACGGTAAGCGCAGCACGCACTTCCATTTCCCCATTGCTTATTGGCACAGTGCTCCTCCGCTGCTCAGAATGAGCATGTGCCAAAGGGCCCCTAAGCCAGTGGGCCTGAAGCCTCCAGAACCAGCAGACAGCTGTATCTTACAGATCCACAACGGAAACAGAGAAACCGCCACAGTGGCAGAGAACCCACCCCTGTCTGCCCCCCTCCCCGCCTGGTGCTGTACTCAGCAAACACACAACAGCCTTCAAACCAAGCTTTCTGCAAACAATGCAGCTGTTTGCTCTGAGACAGGGAAAGACCTTTCCCCCGGAAAATAAAAATCACTATTTAGAGAGGGAACACAGCAAACGACTCAAATCCCAGGGGATCAGGATGTTTCAGTCGATGGGTAATGGGCTACAGAGCCTTTAACCTATAGATCACCGGTTTCAGTCCAGCCCTGGTCAGTGGTGATTGAAAGCTGTTACCAGCCAAGGAGAGTTCAGTTAACTAACATGGGTGGCCTCAGTCTGGTTCTTCGCTGGCGATAATCCACCTTACAAAAGCAGCCAGCTCTCTA